GGGGGGGGGAAGTAGTGGGAGGAAAAGTGGATTGATGATGATGATGCGGGGGGGGGGGAACGAAATCAATTCGATTTCAGAATGGGAATCAAATTGATTTCGGTTTCGAGTCGAAATCGATTCGGTCTCAGAATCGAAATCAAATGGATTTCGATTTCGAATCGAAATCGATTTGTTTTCTGAATCGAAATCGAATTGGTTTCGATTTCGAAATCAAAAGGAAGAAACAAATAAAATTAAAATTAAAATTAAATGGCGAAGAAGAAAAGGAACGAAAGGAAAAAGAATAGAAACGTTGTCGAAGAGGAAGAAGAAGAAGAGGAAAAGGGAATGTCGGCGACAAGGGAGAAAGAAGGGGAGGGAAAAGGAGGGACGATGGCGACGACGATGATAAGAAGAAGGACAAGAAGGTAAGAATGAGAAAAGAACGAATAGAAAGAAGAAGAAGAAGAAGAAGAACAAAGAATAAAAAAAAGAAAAAGAAAAAATTGTCATCGATTACTTATCTGCGCAGAGGTAGCAACGGCGATGATGAGGATGGCACCGCGTGGCGACGAGGACAACGGGCACGGTGATGGCGACGTGGCACGACAACGACGATCGCCGCAATGACGATGATTACGTGGCATGACGACGATGATCACAACGATGACGATGATGATGTGGCACGACGACGACGATCACGACGATGACGTGGCACTACGACGACGATCACGACGATGATGCTGATGATGGCCAGATGGTGACGACGAAGCAGGGTCGGTCGGGCGGGTTCGAACCGCTCCGATACTTGTGTGACGGGTGCGAGGCTGAGGGAAACAGGGAGAGCCGAGGGGGAGGAGAGAGAGAGGGAGAGAGTGCGAGCACACACACACACTCACTCACTCGACACGACCGAGGGTCGGATGCAGACACAGTGGCAAACACACAAAGTCAAAGTCTTGGATTCCGAATGCCGAAACAGGACCAAGTCACACCGAGTACATGCACATCAGCTGAAAACTGGTGCCAGCCTGGTCCCCGTACCGTACGGGGAGCCGGTATAAGTACCGGTGACACGTACGGTACTAGGGACACTTCTGCAAAGGCCCCGAGGGCAGAACTGAAAAATGCAGTATTTGAAAGTGGCGCCCGAATTGCAGCATGGCACCAATTGTCCAAAATCCTACTATACCAAAGGAGGGGTTTGGAAAAAGGGTGCCAGGCCGAAAACGGGATGCAGCCGAAACAGCAAAAAGATAGACCAGGGATCAAGCCCTGGCGGAGTCCGTAACAGAACGGGTTCGGGTACAGGGAGTGTTGGAGGGTAGTGAAATTGGTCTTTGAGAACAGGTCCCGCTATCAGCCCGGGAAGTTGAATAATGAAAAAGTGAAGGAAATTATGGCTGATCGTTTTTGCATGAACTAAGCACTGTGTTTGTGTTTGTGTTAGTGTGTGATGGTGACCGAGGGGTTGATGGCCGGGAGGCCAGATGCCCCTTGGCATCTCGCCTCCCGTGACCCTTCAGCCTCTCGGTGGGAACGGGGCGGGACACACACACACACACACAGGCTTACTCGGGTCAAGCTATGAACGAATGAACCCGCATCAACAAGCCAGGAAGATTCGACGGAGAAGTATGAACCTACATGCCCAAATGAAAAAAAAGACAAGGTACTCGCCTTTGTCCTACTGTAATAATAATAATAATAATAATAATAATAATAATAATAATAATAACAATAATAATAATAATAATAATAATAATAATAATAATTTATTTCTTTTTCTCCCGCTCCATATTCCTTCTTTTCGTAATGTTTTTCTCTCTTCCTTTTTTTCCCCTTTTTTTAGTTTTTTTTAGTTTTTTTAGTTTTTTTAGTTTTTTTTGTTTTTTTTTGTTTTTTTTGTTTTCTTTGTTTCATTTTTTTTTCAGAAAAGCGCAATAAAAACCCGCTCATAACCCATTTGGTTGCTAAACATACTTCGAAAGAACACGATTCGAAGAGGCTTCTCGAGCGGACGCCTGGTAACATGTGAGCTTGACAACAGCCACGTTGTCGATTCCTTTTTTCCTCTTGTTTTTTCTGCTTTTTTTCATTTCTCTCTTTTTTTGGGGAAAATTTGTCTGGCACCCCTGTAATTTGCGTTATTTCGTGTCACACCCCTCCGACGACCGATTTACCCTGTCGCGCCCCTGGGCCAAAAAATATTTTTGGCAGGCCCTTGTCAGTAGTGACGGCAACTTTCCAGGACGCCCTCCTTGGACTGACAGTGGGGCCCTGTGCCATATGCCCTAATGACGGGCAGCCATCTTTCAGCAATGCCCCCGCAGCCACGAGGCACCATTATTCGCATTTCCATCGGGCCCTGGGCCATATCCTCCGCTTCCCTGCAAGTGTGTGTGTGTGTGTGTGTGTGTGTGTGTGTGTGTGTGTGTGTGTGTGTGTGTGTGTGAGAGAGAGAGAGAGAGTG